TTGTTCCACAACCCCCACTAGACCTACTTCACCAACGGTACCACACTCGCCTGGGGGGATTGCCACGGCACAAAACGCCTGGTCTTCCACGGAGTCCACGTCGCTCTCATGCTCCACCACCACTTGCGCTAGGACGGCCTCCTCCGTCGCGCATTTTTCTTTGGTGTGGTCCCACCCCTCGCAGCGCGCACACTACGGCACGAGGTCCTTCTCGTTGGTAGCGCAGCCGATCGCTTGATGTCCACGATCTCCACACCTAAAGCACCGGCCCGGGAACTTATAGTCCCCGCCACCGCCGCCATCGGCGCCTCCACTGCTGCTTCCCTTGCTCTCCTCGACTCCTCCGGATCCGCCTGAGCGGCCGCCGCGACCGCCTCCGCCGCGGCCACGACTGCTGCTGCGGCCACGGCCGCCGCCACGACCACGACGTTGCCCCTGACTCCTACTTGAGTACGGCTCGCTGCGGCCCTCACCGTCGGCGAAGTACGCTTGCTCTGCGCTCTTCGCCCCTTTTCCTTTCTCTGCTCCAGCTTGTCCTTGATCGCCTTGTATTCGATCATTACTTCCTTTAGCACACCCGTCCGCGTCACCCCTTCCGCGTGTCGCAGGTTGTGCTTTGTCATGGCATACTCGTCCGGAAGGGCATCCAGGAAGAGGTGAAGGACGAACGTTTCGTTGACAGTTAGTCCTTCCTCGGTTAAGGGCTCTGCGGTTTGGAGCATCTCATTTAGGGCGTTTTGGGGTTTTTCACCTCTAGAGATCTTGGTCGACGTCAGGGACTTGAGGTCCTCTGACGGCTGTACAGATGATTCAGGGTCGAGTATGGACTTGAGCTCACGAAGCGCTCCCTGGGGCGTCTCTGCCCTCGTCATGATTTTCCGATGGTTTTCTTCCAACGCGTGAGACAGGAAGTTCCACGCGTGGAATGTGAGCTCTACTTGCTCGCTCCGGTACTGCTGTGGTAGCGCGANCGTCAGGGACTTGAGGTCCTCTGACGGCTGTACAGATGATTCAGGGTCGAGTATGGACTTGAGCTCACGAAGCGCTCCCTGGGGCGTCTCTGCCCTCGTCATGATTTTCCGATGGTTTTCTTCCAACGCGTGAGACAGGAAGTTCCACGCGTGGAATGTGAGCTCTACTTGCTCGCTCCGGTACTGCTGTGGTAGCGCGAACTTGCTCTTTCCGCTGTTGACGGGGATCTCCAAGCTCCCGCTCTCTTCAAATTGTTCCAACAGGTTTGCACCATTAGCTGCCATGCGGAAATCATTCAGCCATTCGTTGAAATCTTTCGATTTCCCGCTGAACGGAGGAGAAGTGTACCGCACACTTTGGTACCCCGTCGCTGGGGTTATGGCTCCGTATCCAAGGCCAACAGCAGCACCACCATCTCCCATGGCACTACTATAATCTTGGTTGTGAGCAGCGGCTACTCTTACCTCTTGGGGGACAAAGCCCCCTGCTTCGCCGCTGTGTCGCCCTGACGGGCCAGACTCTCGAACAGGTTTGCGCAGGTACCTCCCGTCCTGCGCACTCCCAGTCCACGGTGCCCCTCCTTCGGCGTTCGTGGACTCCGCGGCGGCGCTCTCCCTAGCATCGCCGCGATCAGCGGCACCCTCCATGGTGCCAGCTGGCTCCTTCTTCTTGCTTGTCTTCATGGTATTTCCACTAGCGACATTAGCTTGCTCATCTGATCCGTCAGCGAGCTAACTTTCGTCCTCAGGGCCACGAGCTCTTCTCTTGACCTCTTTCTGTCTTCCGTCGCAGAGTCGCTGGAGGAGTCACCCCCATCTTTGCGACCTGACATTCCTAATGGACTCTCCCTCGAGGGACTGACACTAGTGTGTTCGTATATGTCCTTTACTTGGAAGGGGAAGACGGTTTATCTCTTGTATTAGACACGCAAGGGGAGTAGGGAGAAGTGAAGCCCTGTTTGGAGTTCGAGGGGTCCCCGCACATGCAACCATTTCAAGGTATACATATGCCCCATCTGCGTGCCCTCTGTTGCTGCCGGTAGATCTAACCAGCCCGTATCCAAACACACGGACATGGGACGCCGTTAATGTCGTACGAAACGATCCATGACCCAGCTTCGTGTGGCAAGATGCGGCGCGGTGCGTGTGGTAGAGTAGTAAAAGTACATGTTTATATGGGACAACCAATATCTTTTTTCAGGGAAATCATCCGAGATTTGCATGCATACGTCACCACATTGCCTCAGAGAAGGCTCACCACAACAATTTGTTGGCTACATCTAAAGATGGTTCAAAACTCTACTCTGACTGGTCGGCCCCTGAAACCGTGTCCTAAAAAGTCTCTCTCTGAGCAGGCCAGAGCACCAAGTCTGACTTGGAACGAGGTGATCAAAGCATGGAAGTCCGGAAAAAACTTCCCGTTGTGAAAGGCAGTGTTTTCTGGGAAACGTCGGTTACAAAGGATGGTGGGGAGAGCCCCTACCGCAAAAAAACAAAGCCTGCTTCGAGAAAACTACCGATGACTCTGCCAGCCGATGCGAGCGCATTCATGGAACACATAAAAAATAAAAGGTCACCCGTGAGCTTTATGAGCTTTGGTACTCCACCCACCGTTCTGGTCGTGCCTCCAAACACTGGTAAAAACTCCTCTCACATTGGCAACTTCTACGCAAACAGTACTCGGGCTAAAAGATGCGCTCTCTGGGAAAAGGTAGCAGTCGAGCTCCAGAGGAAACTGAAGAGGGGCGAAAAGGTGTATGTGAGCACACACGGGCTCGGGATAAGCTGGTTGCATGTTCGCCTGTCTACAACACCGAAATACTACCACACGACGCTCGCAAGTACGTAAGTCTACGGGGGAAAGATCTGAACTACCGGATCCATGCGAGAGCCAACGCGACACGTGTTTAACGAGCGACACGGATGTGAGCCCGAGCGAGGCGCCCCCCTTCCCCACTTGGCACAGAACACGCGGCCTGGGCAGCTTGTCGGTTGAGGCACTGTGCCAAAAGGTCTCTCAACTGCGCGCCCATTGTGCATTTTCCACACAAACTGCCGGTGAACAGCTGAATGCTTTTGACGCAAACCTCTTTTTCCAGGACTTGCGGTCACGGCAGCGAAGCCGGAAAGCCGAGCTGCGACAGAGCCGGCCAAGATCCCCGCAGCTACTGGCTAAAAGTGACGCATGAGTGCATCGGAATCAAAATGCGGGGAAGCTTTTACCGATCCTGCAGATCCAGGAAAACATGAAGAGATGGATCGCTCCGACAAATCAGGTGGAGAGCTTGCCCACCCAGCAGAAATTGTAGATTCAAGTTATGATGGTGAGCCCAATGTGCAGACAGGTATGGTTCGTACAGACGATTTTTATCAGTATTGTGTACGAGAGCTTGCCCACCCGGCAGAAATTGTAGATTCAAGTTCTGACGACGAGCTCTGAAGGCAGAGCAATATATGGCTGATTATCCGCCCAAACGAGTCCCAGATTTTTTTTCAGACCCATCTTTTCAGAGTTTGGTAAGGCTTCTCGCGTGTACAGAATCCAAAGGGCAGTGTGTTGGTATGTCCGTACTTGGGAGGAGAAGACACGCTTTAACTCTCTCTGATTAGGCACCCGCGGGAGCGAGGAAAGGAAGGGAAGAAGTGGTCCTCCCGAATTCGGGGAAGGGGGCCCACACATAGTAGCCTTTTTCAGGCATACGCATGCTCCTGTCTACGTACCCCCCCGTGCTGCTAGCAGATCTACCATGCTCGTATCCAGACACACGAACACCCTCCCCGGTTCGTCAAGCTATTGACAAACCATCAGTGGGGCATGGATACTCCAGATCTACTTAAGTTACTCATACAACAACGGGTGCAAAGGAAAAAACTCGGCCATCCGGATCAAAAACCCTCGCCTACAAACTCAAAACATAAAAGAAACCGGCGCTATCACGAAGGATTCCAACGGCCGCACTGTCAGGGCAGGACCAAGGCAGGACAAGTTGGACAGGCCACGCTGATTACACACCCGAAGCAATTGGTCAAAAACCCTAAGCTCCCGCCGCGGGTGACGCCCCTGCCCAACGCTTCCTGCGTGACATCCATGGTCCGAGACGCGCCCAGTGCTAGAACAAAACAAAACAAACGCCACGAGAACGAGACCAGAACCCTACATCGGCAGGTTCATCAGAGCCTTCCGGTGGTACTCCAACTTGCCCCTACCAAGGACCTTGGTCAGCATATCGGCGTGCTGCTCTTCTGTCGAGACATAATCTGCGGTGATCTTGCCCGCCTTGAAGAGCTCGCGGATGAAGTGGAACCGCACGTCGATATGCTTGCTCCTCGCCGAGCTGAAAGGGTTCTGCACCAACGCGAGAGCCCCCTCGTTGTCCTCACGGACCCTGATCGTGGCACCGCTCGTCTCGGGCGCAATGAACGACAGAACACCACGCACGAACAACGCTTCCTTCACGCCCTCCCCGGCTGCAATATACTCTGCCTCCGTGGTCGACTGAGCCGTCACTGGCTGTGTCTTCGTGGATGCGCACACTACGGTCCCACCTACAGTCACGGCTAGCCCCGTCGTCGAACGCCTGTCAACGGTGCTGTCGGCGTAACTAGAATCGACGAACACGTCTAGGTCTAGCCCTGATCCGCGGACGTAGGTGATCCCGAGGTCCTTCGTCTCGTTGAGGTAGGACATGATCCGCACAAGCGCGTTCCACATCCTCTCGGTGGGTGAGTGGGCGATCTTCTGCAGCTTGTTCAAAGGCAGCGCGATGTCCGGCCTCGTGAACAGCAACCACATCAGGCATCCGATCGCTTCCCTCACGGGCTTGTCCACCGAGGACTCGTCGTCTCTCTTCGGCCCTAGGTCATCGTCGACGACAGCGGGCGTGGGAGCAGTGGTCGTGACATTGAAGCGGTTGAGCATGCTCTCGATATAAGCCGTCTGGGACAGCTTGGTGGTACCATTCTCAAGGTCCACCTCAATGGCACACCCATCGTACCAGGTACAATCTCCTAGATCCTTCACAGGGAATCTCTTCTGGAGAGACGCTAGCAACTCTTCACGCTCCTCCTCGGTCGCGGACAACATGATGTCATCCACGTAGATCACGATGAGACCTACGACTTCTCCGTCAACCACCTTGCGGAAAATGCAGGGGTCCACCCTGCACTGCTCGTAGCCGTTTGAGATCAGGGCATCGGCAGCCTCAAACCCCCACTCGCGCCCACTCTGCTTGAGTCCATACAGAGCACGCTCGACTTTCACCGCCTTGCCAGTCCAAACACCACAACCGTCTGGAAGCCTCAGGTAGATTTCTTCCTTCAGCTTGGCGTGTGTGTACGCCTGCTTGATGTCCCAGTGGACAGGCCTCCTACCATTCTCGGTGGATACGGCCACCATAGTTTTGATGGACACCGCGGATTCGAACTGCGGATGATGAGTGGTGAAAATCCACACCGGGAATCTGAGAAAAACCACGCGCAACCATACGTGCTTTGAAGTCGACAATCAGCCCCTTCTCATTGGTCTTGTGCGAGAAAATCCACTTCGCACTGATGGCCTTACGCCCCTCGGGCAGACCGCTAATCTCGGAGAACGTCCCCGTCTTCTTGTGGCCGTCGAACTCCTTTGCTATGGCTGCTTCCCACAGCACCTTGTACTTGGAGTTAAGGACATCCTTGTACGTCAAGGGCACGCACTCTACATCACTTGGCTTCTGGCCGAAGGGCGAGGGGACACTTAGCTGCGGGACATGAAGAGGTTGCGATGATCCGTCGTCCACTGCCTCTGCACCGAACGCCTCCTCCTGCAGCTCGGTGCCGTACGGCAGCTCATGCATCTCACGCCGGTACTCGATGTTGACCTGCTCCTCGTCGTACCGCTCCCGCACCAGCGAGTTGGAAACGTAGTCCACGATGATCTCCGCCAGCAGCGCTTGCTCGGCGTCTGGCTCGGCGTCTGGACCCGGCGGCTCCTCGGGGCCTTGCAGCTCCCGGGTCTCCCTTCGTGTGCGGCCGCGCTCGAGCCCGTGGCGCAGCGGTCCTTCCTTCGAGGCGCCCCAGAGGAGCCGACGCCCTTCGCGGCCCGGCGGGTAGCGGCTGTCGGCGGGATCAAACTTGTACTCCTCGAGTTGCTCGGAGTCTTCGCCGGGTTCGCTGCCGCCGCCACCGCCACCTCCAGAGGCGCCAGGCTCACTGCCGCTGGTGCCGCCGCCGCCGTCGTCGTCGCCGGCGGCGTTGCTGCTGCTGCTGTCGCTGTTGTTGTTGCTGCTGCTGCTGCTGCTGCTGCTGCTTCTGCGGTCGCTGCTACTGCTGCTGCCGCTGCTGCTTCCATCGAAGTCGCCTCCTCCCGAAGGAGGCGACAGGGGGACGCCCGAACCAGCGTCCCCGGTTCCGTTGCCGGGTGCCGCCGGCGCCTTCTCTTGCACCGGCAGCGTCGCTCGCCCAGCCTCCGTCACGTCGAGGTCGAAATCAGACTCACTATCCGAGTCTTTCCCCCCCCGCGCACCTTGACGGGACATGCTCTGCTTGCTCTCGTCCTCCCCGCCCTCCTCGTCGTCTGCGAGAGGCAGCAGCTGC